TTAGACCATAAAAAGAAAGAAACAAAGAAAGATAGAAAGAAAAAGGAAAGAAAGAAAAAAGGAACAGAGGATGTTAGACCAAAAAAAGAAACAAAGAAAAGAAAGAAACAAAAAGAAAGAAAGAAAGAAAGAAAGAAAAGAAAGAACAAAAGAAAGAAACAACGAAAGAAAGAAAGAAAGAAAAGAAAAAAAGAAAAGAAAGAAAGAAAGAAAAGGAAAAAGAGGATGAAAGAAACAAAAAAAGAAAGAAAGAAAGAAAAAAGAAAAAAGAAAGAAACAAAAGAAAGAAAGGAACAGAATGTTAGACCATAAAAAGAAAGAAAAGAAAGAAAAAGAAAGAACGAAAAGAAAAAGAAAGAAAGAACGAAAGAAAAGAAAGAAAGAAAGAAAAAAAACAAAGAAAAAAGAAACAACGAAAGAAAAGAAAACAACGAAAGAAAGAAGAAAGAAAGAAGAAAAAAGAAAAAAGAAAGAAAAAAAGAAAGAATAAAAGAACGAAAAAGAAAGAAAAAGAAAAAGAAAGAAAGAAAAGAAAGAAAGGATGTTAGACCATAAAAGAACGAAAGAAACAACAAAAGAAAGAAAAGAAAAGAAAAGAACGAAAGAAAAAACAGAGGAAGACCATAAAAAAAGAAAAAGAAGAAAAAAGAAAAAGAAAAAAGAAAAAGGAAGAGGAAGAATAAAAGAACGAAAGAAAAAATGAACAGACCAGAAAGGAAACGAGAAAGATAGAAAAGGAACAGAGGATGTTATTACAAAAGAACGAAAAAAAAATGTCGAAAAAGGAAAAGAAAGAAAAAGGGAAATGGAGGAGAAAAGTTTTGTCAAAGAAAGGGAAAGAAGAAAGAAAGTGGGAAAAGAAAGAAAAGGAAACAGAGGATAAGAAAAAGAACGAAAGAGAAAGAAAGAAAGAAAGAAAAGAAAGAAAGACAGAGAGAAAGAAAGAAAGAAAAGGAACAGAGGATGTTGGACCATAAAGAACAAAAAGGAAAGAAAGGGGGGAAAAGAACAAAAAGAAAAGAAAGAAAAGAAAGAAAAAAGAAAGAAAGAGAAGGGGAAAAGAGAGAATCAAAATGGATAGAGAAAATTACGCGTTATTATTGAAAAAAAATGTCGTGGGGTGGGGATATGGAAGAAAAATTATTACGAGAGATTGACACAGAGAGAGAGAAGTGAGGAGGAGTGTTAGAGATTAATACTATTATTATTATTAAGATGTATTTATCAGTTTCAATGAAGAAAACTCATATCATTAGTCTCAGGCATTTCATTTGAACACGCACAAACACACGCATATATATATATATATATATATATATATATATATATATATGAATTTTATAACACAAAAATTTATTATATATTACTATATATTCTTTCAAAAATGACGTAGCACATTCCTTTTTTTTTCTTTAGAAGGAATGTTTTTCGTCCAACACCTTTTTAGAAAGATTCGTTGGTAAAAAAACAAACTCAACCCAAAAAAAAAACATACAAAAAAAAAAAACAAACAAAAAAAATTAATCATAAATAGGAAATTGAAAAAAGAAGCCAAGGCTAAAAATAAATTTATTACTAAAACAAAACTAGATATAAATAAGAATATATATATATATATATATATATATATATATATATATATATATATATATATATATATATATGTGTGTGTGTGTGTGTGTGTGTGTGTAGGTAAAAAACCGTGGGTAAGTAATCCGAGTAGATCGTATTAATAGAAAATATTAAATTGATCCACAAAAAGAGAGCTCAATATAATTTTTTTTTTATTATATTGAGCTCTTTTTTGTGGATCAGTTTTGAAATTCTCTTAAAAAAAATCGTGGGAATTCATTCATTTTAACAAATGGATTTACATTGAGAAGTCCACGGAAATGGTTTACCTCTGGATGAATTGCCTCTCTGTATGGAATAATTTGTTTGAGTTTCATTGATTGTAACACACACGCACACACACACACACATATATATATATATATATATATATATATATATATATATATATATATATATTATGAAATGGACAAAGTCCGACAATTATTTTAAGACATTCTTTTATGTTTATACGTTCTTTTTATGGATAAAAATATTTAAGTAAATGCTCTGTTTATAATAAACAGTATTAACGACATTTACCGGCCGGAATTTGAGTAAAATCGACCTTGCCAACCGAAATGCTCCTCTGTGGCTCAATCAGTAAAAGCACGTCAGGCTATATGAAGGTTCCGTATAGGATACCGGTTCGATTCTTGTCGGAGGACGCATATTTTCTATGAAAACTTCTCGGACATTCAGGTCATTATTACTGTTTATTATAAACAGAGCATTTACTTAAATATCTGTATCGAAAGAACGTATAAACATAAAAAATGTCTTAAAACATACCTATCTATATATCTATATCTATGAGTTCAAATGCCCCTTAAGGAACTGTGTTCCTGATCAAACAGGACTCATAAATAATTACATCGGTTACACAACCACATGCTTATCCAGACGTCTTACATTACACCTATCTGATCACAGCTCCATTAGAACCCATTTAAACACACACACAAATTTACCCGATTCCATTAGGAACATAATAGTAGAAAATACAAATATATTAACTGCATCTACCTGCAAAAAAAAGACTAAAAATAATGGAAGCTTTAATAATAAAAAAGAAAAAGCCAACTCTTAACAATATGAACTACGAACAAAGCCACAATGTGCTAACCGTATTCGGAAATTAAAAAACATCCCTACCAACCACTGATACATATATAGAACGCACACACTCAATTAAGCTGAAAATCGAATTATCCTTGATGTATAAAGGTATAGCCGAAAGCGCTCGGAAATATAAAGCATTTGGACAGTTCTTACACACCCTTTGTCCAGAAAAGAAAGCTCTTGTCAGAACACAAGAAAAATTAAATAAAAAGCTTAACCATAGTACCTTGTTTTTAATGAAACATGCATAAAGGAAGGATTGCTGCCTAAATATACATCTATCTATATATATATGTTTATATATATATATATATATATATATATATATATATATATATATATATAAATATTGTGCTGTGGTCTATGTAAGTTAAAATTTCAGGGCCATGTAAGCAATGCGAATTTATTAATTAAAACGTATGCAGTTAAAATTATTTTGAAAAAAAGAAGGGGTAACAAATAAGTAACCACCGATAAATGGGTTTTAATTATTTAAATGAAGCTTAATACTTAAAGTCGTTAATTCGGCATAAGTTACTTTCTTATACCTGGGACCGTCACGGACCTTTTAAAAAAAAAATCCGAAAACGCATTTTAAATAATTTAAATGCCTTCTTACAAATTCATTTTCGTTTCTATTTGAAAGATAATAGCAGAGAAGGATTAATAGGCAATAATCCTCTTAGAAAAAAGCCAGTTATTTGTAGTGAGGGGTAAAATCAGATTTCGTGACGTAACGACATGCTGAGAACATTTCAGTAATTTTAAAAGAGACTGTGTCAGTTTGGATATATAAATGGTCAGAATTTGAAAAAAAAATTTCTAATAATGGCTTTACTTATTTTCATATACATTTTTTTTTAAGTATGTTCTGGGTATGACGATAAACTACATCCGGCAGTAAGGCCACTAATCGGCTAGATTTTGAGGGGTTGTTGTTCTCAAATCCACACTAATCCGGTGTGGTAGCACCTGCGAGAGTCAAATAGTGAGCAAATAGTGACCCCCACCTCACAGGCAAAAATCAACAGTACATTTTCATAATAAAATTGCCATTTATATTAAAATCAATGCAATACTAAAAAACAAATAAAAATACAATTTTCTAGTAAAATTACCAAGAATATAATCTACAATATATATATATATATATATATATATATATATATATTAAATATAAAAAAACAAAACAAACCCTTTTAAGGTTCCATGTAATAAATTATTTCTACCACAGCCCTTTTTAAAGGACTGCGGATCATCAGACTTTACTTCCAAAGGTTGAAACAAAAATGAAAAAAATTTACACATTTTGACGGGCCGTATTAAACATATGTAAGTTAACGAAGTGAAGAAGTGAGGGGGGAGAGAGGTATATATGTATATATATATATATATATATATATATATATATATATATATATATATTTATTCAGAAAGTTTAAAATTATGTACAGAGGAACCTCGGTTCTCGAACGTCTCACATAACGAACAAATTGGTTTTCAAACAGAAAATTCGAGATGAAAATACCTCGGTTATCGAACAAAATTTCGGTTCTCGAACAACATTGCCGAACGGAGTTAACCCGAATGGAATAATTTTTGAGTCGATCGCCATGTTGTGCTGTGCTTTTCTTTTCTAATTTTATTCTCCTGTGACTTTTTTTTCTCTACATTGATTCCTATTGGAAAAATAGTTTCGGCTTATGAACATTTCGGGTTACGAACGGCTTTAAGGAAAGAATTAAATTCGTGAATCGAGCTTCAACTGTACAAAGTACCTGTAGTTGAAAGCTTACAATTGCATTAAAAAATATTTAGGTTTCGGCATTAAATAAGCCATAGAGGTTGATATGCCGCTAAACAAAATCAACCAACCAGCATGTTCACCTTAGAGGTTCGTATCATGTTTATGTTTTTAAGTTGCGTGCAGAGGTTATGATACATATCTATGTTGGTTTAAATGTGCGCGTATGGAACTCTAGTATGAGACATACATACATACATATAGACTTACATTGGAAATGACATTGTAAATTACTTGACCCGACAGAGAAGCCATTCAGATATTTGAGCAGATTTTTGGAAGTGGCTCGAAATGAGAAATTTTCAACAGCTTCTCCCTACACACACACACATATATATATATATGAGAAATTATAAAAAAAAACATGTTGAAATCGCTACACAAAAGGTTTCATGTTTCAATAATATGATTGTAGATCTTCAGGCGATGGTAAGTAACTGTGTTCTTTTTTCATTTTTTATATATATATATATATATATATATATATATATATATATATATATATATATGTGTGTGTGTGTGTGTGTGTGTGTGTGTGTGTGTGTATATATATATATATATACTACTCATGAATATACTTTTGGTTCTTTACCAGCTGGTACAACTCTGAGTAGGCCAGGAATATCGAGAACTGACCCCTGTAAAATTTAAATGTTAATATTTATAACCTATTGTTAGGATAGTGGAACAATACATATATATATATATATATATATATATATATATATATATATATATATAAATATTATTATTATTTTAATACCTACACACGACTGATGTGATCAAAAACCGGATAGTAAAATTTGCCAATAAAAATATACTTAAACGAAATGGTATCAGGGAAAAAAATCAGTAAAACAAGAAAAGACGAAAAACGTCGGTGTTGGTTGAAAAAAAAAAATCAACCAACAACACAATGCCTAGTAAAAAGAAAAACCGCAATCGAGTAAAGTAAGAAAAAAGTAAAAGTGCTCAATACACTAAGTAAGAGCAATATATATATATATATATATATATATATATATATATATATATATATATATATATATATATATATATATATATATATATTACAAAGATTTAAATATATACATATAGTCAAATATTGGCACACAACAAATTTTGGGATGTCTTATTTTAGATCAAACACTGTTTTATTACCAACAGCACTCACTATGCCTTTTTTTTTTTGTTTGGAATAACTCTGATAACAATTGTGTCTGCAGAATCCTAAATATAATATATATATATATATATATATATATATATATATATATATATATATATATATATATATATATATATATGTGTGTATATGTATTATATTATATTATATATATAATATTATATTAAATATATAATATTATATTATATATATATTATATATAATAGGATTCTGCGAGCACAATTTAAGTATATATTATACTACATATAAAAT